CTTAGCACCAGCTGGTATTAGACGTTTATGTCGTTTTTAAGCACTTGGAATTGATTACTGACTACGGCCACGAGTAAAAAGTTGTGTATTATCAGCATAAGTGTTTATTTCAGAACTGCGTGAGATGTACATAAGGTCATTCATAAAAATGTTAAATAGTAGTGGCCCATGTACAGACCCTTGTGGAACACCTTTATTAATCCTTGTCCAGTCGGAAAACGTTTCTCCAATTTTGACTCTCTGAAATCGTTCGGTGAGATTGCTTCTTAACAGTAGTAAGCTATAATTAGATGAACCATAAGACTTAAGCTTGGCTAATAGAAGTTCATGTGGAAGACAATCAAAAACCTTTTTCATGTCAATACCCACAATGGCAGCGATGGACTTGTTGTCACAAGCAATTCTCAATTCCTCCAAAATACGCAGCAGGGCAGTCTGACAAATGTAATTCCGGCGGTAAGCAGACAGATATGGCGATAATTTATCCTCGAAAAATTTATAGAGCTGTTGTGATAGAATACGCTCCATAATGTTGTTAAAGGTGACAAGAACAGTTATGGGTCTGTAATTTTTCTTGAGATATTCAGTATCTTTCTTGAATACTGGCGTCACCTGACCAATTTCCAACTTGTTGGAAAGCAGTTGCTGGCAATTGAAGGATTGAAGAGAGTGCACAAAGGTCTTGCTAAGATGTTGCCATCTTTGAGCAGCCTTGTGGGAATATTATCATAACCGATGGCTTTAGAAGCAGGTAGTGACTTAATAATATCCATAACAACAGCCGGAGTAGTATAGTCAAAACTGAAGTCCGCCGAAGGATTACTGTCTGTGAGGCTAGTAATGCATGGTTCTGATACTATGGTGAAGAAGGAAATCTGGGCCATACAGAGATGGATCAGGTTCAGGAATTTTATCAGCAACCATGGGTGAAGAACTGATTGAATATATCAGCTATGCATTTTTTATCTGTGATAAACACGCCATGTTCCAAACAGTGATATCATTAGTTCCCTTTTGTTTAGAGTTAAAAAGTGGGCCAATGAGTCTCCAAAATTCCTTTGGGATAGATGATAGGTTGTTTGTTTTATGACGAAATTAACCAGTTATGGCTTTCCTCCTCATAGATGTGCACAAGTTTCGTTGTTGCTCGTAAGCTGACCAACTTCCTACCGTTTTTAAGTTCCTGTATTTGTTCCATAATCTGTTTCTATGTCTGACGGATGGCACGCCTCCATTCTGGGGTCATATAGGGAACTTGTCCACCACGGATGTGAAATTGCTTGATAGGGGCATGTTCGTTAGCAATATCCAGGAAGAGTTTTCCGAATGCCCAGGCATGGTCATCAACATCATCAAAGATTGATGCAATGTGAAAGGGCACAGCAGTCAGGTCTGATACAAATCGTTCTTTATCATATGCTTTATAACTTCTGAATATGATTTTCCTAGATCGTTTACGAGCGAGAGAGGTTCTCATGACCGTATAAATCAATCTATTATCACTGATGAGAGGTTATAAGGTACCAGTTGACAGGAATCTGCCTTTGTTGTTGGTAAGGGATGTAACTAATTAAACATATGATGATGCAATTGCAA